ATAGCTGCTCACCGCGACTACGAGCTGCACTCTCTTGACTTCAGCACTGCTTTCTTGCAGGGCAGCCTGCACGAGGAGATCTGGCTGCGTCGCCCACCTGGCTTCACTGGGTCTTTTCCTCCTGGCACCCAGTGGAGCCTCCGGCAGCCAGTCTACGGTCTCCGCCAGGCACCGCGTGGGTGGCACGACACACTGAGGACTACACTTGCGGCTCTTGGGTTTGCTCCCTCTACTGCCGACCCGTCGCTGTTTCTGCGCACCGACACTTCTTTGCAGCCGTTCTACATCCTCGTGTACGTCGACGACTTGGTCTTTGCCACAGCTGACACTGCTGGACTCGCCCACGTGAAGTCCGAGCTGCAGAAGAGACACACGTGCACAGACCTGGGTGAACTGCGCAGCTACCTTGGCTTGCAGATCACCCGGGACAGAGCACGCCGCACCATTACCCTGACTCAGTCACACATGGTGCAGCAGGTCCTTCAGCGCTTCGGCTTCACGTACTCCTCGCCTCAGGCCACTCCTCTGCCTACTCGCCACTCGCTCTCAGCTCTGCCTTCGGATGAGTCCGTAGAGTCGAGTGGCCCGTACCCAGAGCTTGTTGGCTGCCTCATGTACCTGATGACCTGCACACGACCTGACCTTGCATACTCTCTTAGCATTCTTGCACGCTATGTTGCTCCTGGGAGACACAGACCGGAGCACATGGCTGCAGCGAAGAGGGTGTTGCGCTACTTGTGCAGTACGTCGGGCATGGGGCTTGTGCTTGGAGGGCAGAGTCCAGTGGTCCTCACTGGACACGCAGACGCTTCTTGGGCTGACGACCAGGCTACGCAGCGGTCGTCACAGGGTTACACCTTCAGCCTTGGTTCCGGCTCTGTTTCGTGGCGGGCTACTCGCTCGTCTTCTGTTCTCGGCTCCAGTTGTGAGGCTGAGATCTACGCCAGGGCCATGGCTGCACAGGAGCTTCGCTGGCTCACCTACCTGCTGACTGACCTCGGAGAGCCGCCTCGTTCTCCTCCAGTGCTCTACGTAGACAACAAGGCCATGCTGGCCTTGTGTCGAGAGCAGAGACTGGAGCACAGAACGAAGCACATTGCTCTTCGCTACTTCCTTGCTCGTGAGCTACAGCAGCGTGGTCAGCTGCGACTTGCGTACGTGGCCTCTGAGGCCAACACTGCTGATATCTTCACCAAGGCACTTGCGCCTTGTGATCATCAGCGCTTCTGTACTCAGCTGGGTCTTGTACCTACCTTGCCTCACTTGCTCACCTCTTGACCTTGTTTGTACTATTGCATATATATATATACTCCTGCTCTTGCTTGTCTAGCCTTATATATATATGTAATCCTGCATGTGAACTGGCCTTGTGGCCTTGAACTTGTGCTCGGAATGTGTGGTGACTTTGTGATCCACCCTGAGCTTGCTTTGCTTTGCTTGACTGGTCTTGTGACCCCTTGTTCTCCCCCACTTTGCCTATGGGGGTGTGTCAGAGTTATATGACATAGCTACTGTAGGCTATAGTGGGGTAGCACATATGGGGTACAGTTGCCTAGGGTTTGCCTTTTGTACCCAACTTTCACTTAGTCATTTCATTCCTGTTTTCTTGATTCACAAGTCAGTAAGGGGCCGGTCTGTTACTGACTCTTCCCTTTTCCCTGCTCTTTCCCGTCGCTCCACTTCACCGACGTTTTCTCGGGGCAGTCTCTGGACATGTGACCCGACTTCCCACACTTATAACACAACCCTGTAAAAGGGCGATCGGGTGCATGGATTCCCTTGATCGTGGCCCGCTGGGTATGTCAGCGAAAACGGTTTTCCTTCCGGGAACCTGCCCTCGCCCACTGCATCTGTGCATCCGTAGACTCTGCCAAATGTACAGCTTCGCGGAACTTAGTCGGGCGGCTTCGGCGGACCTCGTACTATATCTCGTATATAATGCCGCTGGTGTACTTATCCAATCGCTTCGGCTTCGCCGTGTCGTCCACTTGGTCGGCGAGTGCCGTAAATGACGCTATGTAGTCCTGAACAGAAGCCAACTGCGACCAGGCACGCAGCTTCATGCGAGCTTGCTCCGATGCGGATACGTGCTCAAAATAATCTCGCAAAGCTGTGCCCCACTCCTTCCACATGCGAATCTTGGTCACACCGTATATTGATGTTGCCACTTGATGAGCCGAAGTTGAGGTCCCGTCTGCCGCATGTGTCACACCTGTCGGAGTCCCTGTATCCAAGGTTCGTCGCCACCAGGGCGGGTCCTCGGAGAAGCAAAACAGCGTAATTAATATGCATGGCATCGTCGTCGACTCGTGCTGCAGTAAAGAAAATCTCCACGCCGAACCGCCACCCCTTAACTGTAGTCGCCTTGGTGGTAGGGTTGAATGGGGGCGGGCTCGCAAGTTTAATCTTGATTGTAGTAACTGCAAGTGCTGTTGGCGCTTGTGCTGCCGGCCTATCGCTCCTCGTCGCCGTCTGTGAGTTCGCCACTTGTTACGACGCC